TGGGCCCGGTGGCGTGGCCTAGTGGCTAAAGTCCTCGCCTTGAATGCACCAGGATCCCATATGGGCACTGGTTCTAATCCCGGTAGCCCCATTTCCCATCCAGCTCCCTGCTTGAGGCCTGGGAAAGCAGTGGAGGACAGCCCAAAGCCTTGGGACCCTGCACCCGGAAGAAGTTCCTGGCTCCTGGCTTTGGATCGGCATAGCATCGGCCGTTGTGCTCACTTGGGGAGTGACTTCTCAGACAGGAGATCTTCCTCTCTGTCTCTCCTCCTCTCTGTCTATCTGACTTTGCAATAAATAAATAAATCTTGAAAAAAAAACACTATATCTGTTTTGTATGTTGCATGAAGGTTGCCTTTTGGCAGAGAGAACATACAGCATTACCCTCTGGGCATTGACTTGCTTCGCTGAGCGTGACAGTCTCTGGTTGGGACCATTTTGTTGCAAACGGAGGAATTTCATTCTTTTTCAGGGCTTGTAGCGTTTGCTGGGCTGGATGTGCCACTGTGCGTTTCTCCATTCCTGCATTGACAGACATCTGGGTTGTTTCCATGTCTTTGCTGTTGTGGATTAAGCTGTGAAAAATGTAGGGGTGCAGGTCAGTTTTCTGAATGCAGATTCCACTTGCTTCGGCTTATTCCCAGGAGCGGGTTGGCTGGGTCAGGCGTTGTCCGAGAGATACACAAATGCAATTGTGTGTAGCATCAATCAAGGAGGGGAAGGCGTCTCTTCTTGTCCCGCACAGCTTCTTAGCTGTGATGACCCCAGCCTTTGTGTCTGTGGCCTGCTCTGATGCCGGGGCGACTCCTCTAAGGAGTCAGTACACGGCAGAAGAGCACTTTGTGGCTGTAGACTCTTTTTTTTTTCCTTTTTATTACAAAGTCAGATATACAGAGAGGAGGAGAGACAGAGAGGAAGTGGAGCTGCCAGGATTAGAACCGGCGACCATATGGGATCCCGGCGCGTTCCCTTAGCCACTAGGCCATGAGTTTCTGCTTGCACGTTTTGTCGCTTTGGGGTGTCAAGATGTACCTTGTAGTATACTGAGCACCCTGGTGCTGAAGCCTGTCAGATGTTACAATGCATTCAGCCTAATTCATGAACTGGATAGCATTATGAAAAAAGCTATAGGGCCCGGCGCGGTGGCGCAAGTGGTTAAAGGTCCTCGCCTTGCACGCCCGGGATCCCATATGGGCGCCGGTTCTAATCCCGGCAGCCCCGCTTCTCTTCCAGCTCCCTGCCCGTGGCCCGGGAAAGCAGTCCAGGACGGCCCAAAGCTTTGGGACCCTGCACCCGAGTGGGAGACCCGGAAGAGGCTCCTGGCTTCGGATTGGCATAGTATCGGCCCGTTGCGCTCACTTGGGGAGTGAATCATGGGACGGAAGATCTTCCTCTCTGTCTCTCCTCTCTGTATATCCGTCTTTCCAATTAAAAAAATAATAATAATAAAAATAAAAATAAATCTTTATAAAAAAAAAAGAAAGAAGCTATAGATGAAAGCAGTTATGTCACCTGAATTAAACAGAAATCTTTTCTGAGGATGTGCTTCATCTTGGAAAAAATAGTTCACCCTTTACCTCTGTAGCTAGGAAATCATCTAATACATCATTTCAAACACAATAAGTTGCTCTCGAAGGCGTTTGGGAGGGAAAAAAAAGGAAAAGAAAAAGGCTGGTTCCTTTTCCAGGGCACTTGTGCCCCTCGCTGGAGGCGGCACAGAGCTGTGGCTCCCTCTGCTGGAAAGAAGAAAACCCAGCTGTGCCCAGAATTCCTCCGCAGGTGGCCCGGTGGGTAGTGAGCTCTCGGTGTTGCTGGGTAGCACCTTGTCAGTGTCTGCTAACAGAGCACATCCCGGATGTGTTCCCCCTCCCACCTTCCGTAGCTGTGAGAAACCTCATGTCGAGAACAATTAGCATTCTGTGCTCCTTGCTTGATGTGACGTTGGCTGACTTTTCAAGGCGTGCACCTGCTTTCTGAACCTCCTCTGTGAGAACATGACCCTCCTACAGGCTTCCGTGTAGCTGCTATGTGTTAAGTGCCTAGGAGCTAAGCAGAGGTGCAAGGGGTTTATTTCCGGCTCTCAAGGAACTTACAAGCCCCTAGAAAGGATCTTTGTTAGGGCCGGCATGGTGGCATAACAGGCTGATCTTCCGCCTGAGGTGTTGGCCTCCTGTATGAGCGTGTTTTTGTGTCCTGGCTGCTCCAGTTCTGATCCAGCTAGCTGCTTATGGTCCGGGAAAGCAGAAGAGGAATACTTAAGTCCTTGGGCTCCTGCACCCACGTGGCACACACAGGACAACTCCTGGCCTCGGATCAGCCCCTCTCTGGCCATCGTGACCATTTGGGGAGTAAACCAGTAGCTGGAGTATCTCTCTCTCCTCCTCCTCCTCCTCTTTAAATCTGCCTTTCAAATGAGAATACAGAAATGAGTATTTGAAATAACGACTATTATAACGTGAATGAGAAGACGGGGAAAGATTTTCCAGGCAGAGGGGTCGGGGTAAGCAACAGATGGCGATGAGGGCCCGTGAAGTATCTGTATTGTTATTCTCTGGGTGAGGGGAGTAATAGGACAGTGCCAGAGATGAGGGCCGGGGAGGTGTGCAGAGAGTAAGCCCAGGGTCTAATCAGGGGAAGGTATCAGGTTCCTGATGGTCCCCAGCTGGCTGCGTGTGTGGGCATTGGCTGCAGGGATCAGCCAGGTTACAGACGAGGAGCCGGGAGACTAGAGCAGGAGACCAAGGGAGTAATAACTAAAGCTCAACTGCAGCAGGGGTAAGAGTGGCAGCCAGCAGGGACCGGGGACCGGGTTAGGGCTCCAAAGATCGGGAGACCTCTCTAGCTTGGCTGCGTGAGGAGGTGATGTTGCCACACCCGGGAGGTGATAGCGGAAGTGAGAGCCGCACTGAGGCGCGGTAGGAAGGAGTAGGGGGTCTGTTTCTGACCTCAGGAGTTGACATTTCTGTCACGTGTGCGTGAAGGCTTCCGGCAGATCCTCTCTGCTGCAGAACTATGAAGTCCAGGAGGGTGCAGCCAGCATTGCTGCCGTTGGAGGAAGCAGTTGAGCCACGAGAGACGGTGGAGTCATCAGGGCAGCGTGACACATGACGGGAGGAGTAGGGGTGTAGGCTGGAATTTGGAAGGAAGCATACTGGTGCTAATGGCAGGCTAGGGGAAGCTCCTGCGGAGGAGACCGCAGTGGGTCTGCTAAGTAGGGTGGTATGGAAGCCAAGGAAAATGGGAGATTTTCTGGAGAGCATTATTGAAGAATATCAAACCTATGGTAAAGGTGGAAATATGTTTTCTGGGCTTGACTTTGAACAGGTCCTAGTAAACAGGGAGTTAGACAACTCGGGGAAAATGTCAGAGAGAGAAAGCAATGTTATCTGAGAATGACTTATGATAGGCTCACGTGAAGGAAGCGTTTGGGTTGTTTGCAATTCTTGGTGGAAAAGAAGGAATGTGGCTGACTAGTTCTGAAAGACCAGGGAAAGAGTCATGGATGGGCGAGGGAAGGCGGGTGGTGGTAGAAGGCAGAACTGAAAGATGAACCTTGCAAGGATCTGCTTTGTCTTAAAGCACCGTGCGGTGGTACCTTCTGCTGAGAGAAGAAATGGTCGTGGTTGACTATGGGAAGATGGTCAAGAACGGCACTTGAAGGGCGTGGTGCCCAGCTTGCCGAGAGGAAGACGGACAGGCCCCACGCATGGAGCAAGCTAACAGCAGTGCCAGTCTGAACAGCAGGGTCACAGCTGTTTAGCATTTGCCAGGTGTAGGAGTGGAGGAAAGTCAGCCAGGGGATGGGGGAGTCCAGGCTAAAGAGAACAGAAAGGAGCAAGGGGCCCCGGGCACAGGAGGAGGGAGGGAGGGAGGGAGGTGTGGAATGGCAGGAATGGCATGGTTACGGTTGGATGGGGGGCGGGGTGTCTATGGGTATTTAATTCTCCTAAGATTTTGCTGTTGACTCTGCTGGAGATCCTGGTGATGAAGTGTCCAGGAAGCGGGACGGTGACTTGCATGCCTCGAGGTAACAGCCGGAGGTTGTGCTCTGATGGCCTGAGAGCTTCTCCCTGTCTACAACTTGGTCTTCTCTCCAGAGCACCCTACCCGAGCGCCCCCTTTTGTCTTTCACAAACCCAGTTTCTTTCCTTCATGATGGCAGCCCTCTTTGGGTTGCAGCTGCAGGGAAGGGCCTTCCTCGGAAATGTCCTCTGGGGGGGTAGAGTCTAGAAGGTTCCCTTGCTCCTTTCCCTGCTGAATGGCTGCCCTCCGGGGTTATCATTGTGCTCCAGGACTGCCCTTGCTTCTGGTCCATAAACAAGCTTTTCCCTTCTGGGTCCTTTTCTGCTTTCTACTCGCAAAAGAAGATACATGAATCAGAGCCAGAAAAAATGGTCTGGAGTATTGTGTGACAAACCCCGAATCGGCTCTGATGTCTGGGTGGTAGATTTCACTGTGAAAGTGAAGCCCGAGGGTGTGTCCCCAAGAGGCAGAGCTCGGAGTTCCAGAACTCCTCCGACCTGGCTTGTGCCTGGTGAGCACTCCCAGCCGCTGCTTCCAAATCCTGGTCTCTGGCGTGAGCGATGGACGGTCCTGTGGGTGCCTCGTGCTTCTGCTCTCCTGCTTATGTCAGGCTCTGCCCTGTGTCTTTGCCGACTCGCATCCTGAAACACTGTTATGCTGCGAATGGCTCTGGAATAAACAGTTTGTGCTAAGGAGCGCTGTTGTATGCTCAGTGAGTCACAGAGGAGGAAGGCGGCCTCCGTTGCTCTGAAATTCCTCCCCGCAGCTTCAAGCCAAGGCCCCTTTCTTCTTCAGAGGAAGTGTGGCCCTTTGGAGTCAGGAGGTGGCTCAGCTGGGTGCTTGAGACTCAGCCAGCCTGGGCCTGGCATCCCTGTCTCCAGGCTGGCCTGCTCGGCCTGCTGGGAAGGTGGAATAAAGGCGAGCTCCTGGACACCGATGTGGAAGAATGTTCAGGGGAGGCAGGGCTTCCGGTTCAGACAGCAGGTGTAGTCAGAATTTTTGTCTACATATCCCAAATGCTTTCAGGAAGTTGTGGATGGATTTCTTAACGTCACCCAGTATCTTAAAGAGCGCAGCAGGATGTGAGTTCTGACCTGCAAGGGTGCTTGCTGTCTTCTTGCTGCAGCATTGTGGGGTTATCGCGTAACACACCATGCCACGTGATGGGGCTGGATGCAGGAAGACACAAAGCTTCAGCTTGATTTCATTGGCTCGCATTTAGTTCAGGGCAACAGACACCAAGTTGTGATGAGGAAGTACAGTACAGGGTAGGAAAGAGGAGCTTTTATAGACCGTTTCCTGTTCTGTGGAGCTGGCTTCTTAAGAGCTGGTAAATGAGCTAAGCACAGACCTGTGGAAGGGAGGTTCTTTGCTCTGGAGTGCAGAGAAAGGCAGCGTGCAGACACCTGAGGTCAAGTGCTTGGAGTATCGACCCGCCTTTGCTAGAGGTAAGCCTGTGTGTGCAGACTCGGAGAAGCAGAAGTTGCAGGGAAGGGGGCGCCTGGTACCCTGAACCAGGGTCACGCAGCGTAGCATGTTTAAGATTTAATTGCTTTTTTATGGTCTGTCTTTCTGTTACTTGAAAAGCAGTCTGCAAGTTATTTGTCCAAACTTCCATACAGGGTAACAGAAGGGTTCTGGAGTAAACTGCAACCTTTAATCATGCCCGTTAACGTGTTGCTATGTGGACAGAAAGCTAGCTCCTGTATTTGCAAAGAAATGCTACTGTTTAGCCCATAGCCTTACACTGGGAAAGAGCTTCTGAAATGTTTAGGTGCCAAGTGGCCGGGGAAAGCCCAGCTGCCTGGTGCAAGGGGACTGACAGAGTGTGTGGAATATGGTGGAGTTTTTTTTTGTTTGTTTGTTTGTTTTTTGTCTTTTTACTACAAATTTTAAACACGAATGCTGTGTGAGGTGTTTGGTGAAAAAAAAAATGTGCTTTTTAGCACTATGCTTAGTAACCTTTTGTCCTTGCCATGGTAGGAAAAAAAAAACCAAGCATGACTAGTTAGGGATTGATTCTTGTACATTAATCTGTAAAACTCAGTTTTGAAAAGTCCAGCAGGCTGTTCTGGAAGGAAGCTTATTGCAACAGGTGGAGATTTGTAAAACCCGTTGTAAGAAATAATTGATGACCCCTTCCATGTACATGGTGTCAATCAGACAAAGACAGCTTATGTCTTCCAACATTTAACATATGGTGGAAACGTCCAAAATTCCCTCTCCTCGTTTTTAAAGAGAGACACATATGGTATCTTAACATTATCTGAGATATTTAAATGCATTTTTAAAAAAATACTGCGTGATCTTTTTTTTTTTTAAGATTTATTTTGTATTTCTTTAAACGGCAAAGTTACATAGAGGAGGAAAGACTGGGGGTTCACCTCCCAAATGACTGAAACCACGGGGGGGGGGGGAGGCTGGGCCGGGCTGAAACCAGGAGCTTCTTCCGGTCTCCCGTGTAGGTACAGGACCACAAGGACTTGGGCCATCTTTCACAACTTTTCAAGGCACTTTAGCAAAAAGCTGGATCAGAAACGAAGCAGCCTGGGCCCGGCGGCGTGGCCTCATGCTAAAGTCTTCGCCTTGCACACACCATGATTCTATATGGGCACCGGTTCTAATCCCGGCAGCCCCACTTCCCATCCAGCTCCCTGCTTGTGGCCTGGGAAAGCAGTCGAGGACGGCCCAAAGCCTTGGGACCCTGCACCCGCGTGGGAGACCTGGAGGAGCTCCTGGCTCCTGGCTTTGGATCAGGCGCTGCACCGGCCGTTGCACTCACTTGGGGAGGGAATCATCCGGTGGAAGAGCTTCCTCTCTGTCTCTCCTCCTCTCTGTATATCTGACTGCAGTAAAAAGAAATAAATCTTAAAAAGAAAAAAAAAAGTGAAGCAGCCTGAATTCAAAATGGCACTGATATGGGATACTGGCATTGCAGAAGGAACCTCACCATGCTGCACCACAATGCTGACGTCACTTTGTAATTAATCTTAAGGAAAATAAACTGGTGATGTGGATTGGGATGTGGGAAGGAGTCTCTCGTGTTACATTATGAATTTGAAAATATATGTACATATATATATATATTGCATATATACACATACAATTTTCAGGTATAAGAAAAAATTAATTAAAAAATTCCCTGTAGAGGGCCAGTGTGGTAGCAGAGCAGACTAATCCTCAGCTTGAAGTACCAGCATCCCATATGGGCATTGCTTTGAGTCTCAGCTGCTCCACTTCTGGTCCATGCTCCCTTCTGGTGGGAAAGCAACAGTGGACAGCCCAAGCCCTTGGGAGCCCGCACCCATGTGGGAGACATGGAGGAAACTCCTGACTCCTGGGTTCGGACCAGCCCAGCTCTGGCCATCGCGGCTGTTTTGAGGTGTAAACCAGTAGATGGATTGTCGGTTTCTCTGCTCATTTGCTCTCTCTTAGAACACCGAATTTCAAGTAAAATAAATAAATCTCTTTTTTTAAAGTCCCTCTAACTTGGACTTTGAGTTCATAAGAAGAGTACTATTTTCATTTGCAAACGACAAAGCCCAGCTGGCAGAAGGAAAGGTGAATAAAATGTCCCAGGTGAACATATTCACTAGATTGTGTGCTGAAATGCACTTATACATCAGAAGGCATCTCGACATGAATGCTGTCCAGCTGGGGACAGCCAAGCAGAGGACTAGCCTAGAATCCTAAGGGTGATACCGCTGAGCCTGAAATGACAGGGTTAGGCGTCAGGGTTTGGAAAATGGGGTATTCTAGGCAGAGCCAGTGACGGTCACACGTAGGTCGGTGTCACTTCTCTGTTTGCCATCGTCCGACTCACCAGAACGGAAGCTGGGGCCCTTGTTCGGATGTGCAAGGACTTGCTAGATTTCGCTTGCCTTACTTCTTCTGAATCGCCTGTCTTTGCCACTCTGCTGTGAGACTGTAAGATCCATCGGGCACACCCTTTATCTCCTTATTCCCCTGTCTTCCTACCGCCTAATGTGAACTAGATGAAAGAATCCCAGCAGCCACACGTTGTGCCGCAGTGTGGGATGTCTGAGACACGATGATGACAGCGAGGCAAGCGGCACATGAAACGTCGCTCTTGCTTGCGATGTAAAGTTAAGGGGGCTTAGGGAAGTGTTGCAGTGTAGAGCGTGGGATCTAATGGAGAAAGCAATAGCAGATGGAAGGTTGTAGTAGCGGTCTCCTCCTTCAGCTGACATTGAGTCTTCACGCAAGCACTGTGCGAGCTTGTAGGAATACAGAGAGGACCGGGAAATGGAGTCAGCTCTGCACATCTTGCCGAGGGTGGAGGTGAAGCCGGGGAGGTGACACGGGCATTGTCGAAGAGGTGAGAGGGAGTCTTATGTCTCGTTGATAGCTTCTTGATGTCAGCCGTGCCAAGAGTTCTCAGAGACAAAGATAAGATGCTGAGCCAACTTTAAAGATACGTTGTTTTAATTCTTTTTAATGGTGCGTTCATATGATCTGAATTAGTTCTTGCTCAGAAATGTTCAGGACTGCCTTGACTGATGTGTTTGTTCTTCGAAGAAAGACGTTACTGTGTTTTAGCTTTGAGCTCGTGCCTCTTCTGGCTGATAGAACAATTTCAGGAGATGGTGCAGGTGCACTGCTGGTGACAACCTGGGAGAGATCGGGGGACTGACTGCTCCGTCATCAGTGCAGCCAGAAGGAAGCCCCGGGCTCCTGTCAGCTGTGCTTTCTTAGCTCCTTCAAAGGCGCTTCCCATTCCGTGGACCTGCCCGGCCAAGTCAGTAATGAAAAGTCAACATTCATTTGCATTTTCTTTCTTCTCTTTCATTGTCTCTTTTTAAAACTTCATTAAAAGTTACTTTTAAATGTTACATAGGTGAAAGGATTGCAGACCCTTGCAGGTCTCCCGGTGCGAAGGGCTGGAATGAGGGGGTGACAGGGTGGCTGAGTAACTAGACTGCCCTCCTTCCTGTGACCGGGGCAGGTAAAGGCCGGGAGATGCTGCTTTGCTCTTGGCTGCCATATCACGTCAGCGCCAGGGGAGAGCGATGGTCCCCTGGTTATATGCCAGGGACCCCGGTAGGAAGAAGAAGGTCCTGAGCATCAGCTGTGGGAGGCCCGCTCCCATTCCTGCTCTCTGTGGTTCGGTATGTCCACGGCCGTAGCTGCATGGTGGAGAACTTGGCCTGTAGCCTTATTCAGTTTGCTCTTCTTCCCACCTTTGGTTGGGGCACTCAGGTTCTTCTGTTGAATCAGAGAGGCCAGCTGTGCTTTCATGTACATCCCAGTGTCATCTCTCCTTACACAGAGTCCTCTGTGGGGGCTTCCCAGGTCCACAGCATGTGCTCTGCGGCCAGAGCGGATACTCATGTGGTGGTCCCTGAGATTGGCGGTTGACTGATGGAGTGCAGCCATTGACCAACCCTTCAAAGACCCTCCTGGGTCATTCCTTAGATATGACTCTTGGCGTGCATCAGTAGGTACTACGGCCTAGTCGGGAGGATGCCTGAAGACCCCCTGTCAAGCCCACCCCAACCCAGCTCTCACGCTCACCAGCAGGTGCTGTGGTCTAGCCTGGTCTGCCCCCAGCCATGACACTTGCCAATGAGTGTTGTGGCCTTTCTGAGCTTCCCAGAAGAATCCCTCCAGACCTGCTCCCAAACACAGCTCTCACAAGTGCCATCAGGTGTGTGACTGGCCTGGCACTGCCCACTGCCAGCCCTGGCTCCTGTGCGTGCAGGCAGCAGCTTTGGCCTGACCCAAGGGAGCCCCCAAATTCCCCCTTCTGGTCAACCCTGTGGCAGCTTCCTTGATTACCTGTGGGTGCTATGGTCCATCAGAGCTCCTAGAAACCATTTTTATATGTCAAATAAATCCTCGTTCCCCATCCCCCCACATTCTGACCCATCTCCAGTCCTTCAGCCCCCCCCCCCCCAGCTCCTAGCAATGCATCACCCCCACGCCCCACCGCATGCGTGTGGCAGCAGCAGTGGCAGTGGGGCGG